GTCTGTGCCAAGATATATTGGAAAAACAGATTGTTTCGTGTGATGAACTCCGAAAAGTGAAGGAAATTATCTAAAAGATGTGCTTTATGTTTATTTTAATCCAAAACAACATTGATTTTATTTAAAGTAACATTACAGACAAATTATTAGTTTAGTTTTTAATTGCACGTGGTTTTTTTATTTCCATTTTCCGTTTATATGCTATCCTGATATTCACATGTTGATTTCCAATGTCTAGCATGACCACCTCTTTGGTCCGGGAAACACCTCTACACTGAAAACAATATGTAATAGTTTTGAAAAAGAGGTATTTCGTAAACACGAACACGTGATGGCGGACAGAAATGATAGCGATGGTCGTGACACAGTCCATTTGTCAGGACCGCAATTTGTTATGGGTGTGGCAAATGTTATTTGATAACTTTAATTCTATTCAGAATTACGAAATAAGTGACATTAATCACCATCGGTGTTGTGACCGATTCTGGCGGGAAGCCATTTTCGTTCAATAAGTATTAACATTTTTATGAGCATATTTCAGAGAAAACCAGCTGTCATTGTTCATAAGGTGATACACTTGATATATATATGAAATAATAAAATCAAAGTACTGAAAGTACTGGTATGCTAAGACTATTAAAAAACAAATTCTTTGTTATTAGCTTGCTATATACTGAAACCAACTATATGCAAGCAGTAAATCATTGCAGCCCATAAAAAATGACCAGCAGAAATCAGAAATAACAAGCATAGTAGTATTACTTATGTAATACATGTCCCAAGTAGGCTCCAAGATGCAATGATAGGGAAGTTGTCCATTTCTTTGGATACATTGTAGGAAATGTTGATCTTGAACACCATATTATCACTTTAAAGACTGCGTATCCTATTGGTTTAAGACCATTAGTTAGACCATCATGCAAATAACATGCTACATACAAATATTGGACAGCTTCATTTTCCAGATTGTTTGTAAATGAGTGCATAAGAGTGCCAATTTTCTAAAACAAACATGACTTGTCACCATAACTTAAAATAGAAGATGCCTATTCTTCCGGAAAACCTGGTCTTATTCTCCTTGTACTTTTTCAGGGAATCTTCAAGTAGATATTGTCTTTGTTCCAATTTTTCATGTTTATATATTCTTTGTTCTCTAAAACTTGTCGCAAGATATTTTATTCCTCTTGTATTATCATTTTTTTTAAACATCCTTACAGTGACGTTGAACCTTGAAATTTGCAAGATGTGAATATCTTTTAGGTTGTGAAATTTGATAGAAAAACGAGGGTAATGCAAAGGAAAAACACCCCCATGCAACTATCCGTTTTTTGACTGTGACCTTGATCTTTGACATCTGACCCTGAATTTCTAAAGAAACCGACTTCTCCTCACAAGGGATACATGTTCCAAATTTGATTAAGGTATACTAACTGTCTTGGTCTCAATGCGTTTACAAGGTAATCATATAGTACTTATGCAAGTACTGTGACCTCTACATTCAATCCTCAAAATCATTACTATATCCTCTCCACATTGCCCAGGGATAACTGAAACTGTAATCCAAATGATAACTTATACCCCCATCACCCACAGCCTTAGTTATCTCCTCATGGTGACCTTTTGCACAAAAACATCCTCTGAAACACAGCGGCATGTGCACATGTTCCCTAATATTCCTGCGAAGTTTTGTTGAAATTGGTCCACAGGTTTAGAAGTTGACCGACATGCAAAACCTGTCTATATTGACCAGTTGCCATGGCAATCAATATTTCCAGGGGAAAATGGACAGACATCATGGAAAAATAATAATAATAATAATAATAATAAAAACATGATAAAGATGCTGGGTAAAATTGATGAATCAAAAGTGTTGAACTGAAAGTGGACGCAGTTGACATAACACTGAAATTTCTGAGATGAACAAGTACAGTACATATATCAAAAGTTCAATTGTACCAATAACACTTTACACATTCACACTGGGACTTTACATATTCACACTGGGACCTAACGCTTTGCTAGGTTTATCCTAATCTTTATTAAAACACTTTCCGGGATTCAGATGTTAATTGACATCTTCATTATTCCCAATATTCATATTGTAATCGTTCACATGCATCACTCTTCAACAGAATCAACGAGACATCATGTCAGAAAGACAAAAACTAAATTTAAGCTAAAACTATATATATTAACTTCACATGTAAACCTTACAATTAGCATAGCTGTAGAGTTCCCGTACGATTTCATACTCTGGCCTTGGGGTACTTATAAATTATCTCCGATCAGAAATTTGAAAGAGCTAGATCTACAATAGCGCGGAAAGTGACCGATATTTTAAAGTAAAATCGATATATACAGATAGATTCCTAGATCTATTCACGGTAGCGTAAGTAGTACAGTACAATATTACGGATAAGTTTTTTTCTGGTTAATTTCCGATCTGTTGGGCCACTGACAGAAGTGACTGCGATGAGACCACTATGAAACGATCATTAAAAAATAAATCCATTTCAAAATACTGAAATACTTTACGGAAGCAACAAAAATGTGCTAGATGCTTACATAACATTTTTCAAATGCATACTGCTTCAAAGGAAAAGTCTTGAAAATATTTTGAAAAAAGTGCCATAACGGCAGTGCCCAGCTTGCGCGTCGCCGTCAAGCCTAAATTCAATAGACTTCATAAATTACCCGCCATCTTCTTTCAGCCGCCGTCTTCTTTCAGGGTCCAGCAGCACAGAACACCCCGGCTGTTTCCGTCAAAATTTTATGCTACTCTAAATCATTCTTATTTTAGTTTCATTTTTATTTTCAACTACATATTTCAGTATTTCTAATAGTTTTCAACAGTATTAAACGGGAAGTAAATTTTCGAAAAAAGAAAGATATACAAGTGTATATGACACCCACAATGCATCGCGCGGAAAAGAAAGTTAAGCCGCCATATTGGCATCGCCTCGCAAAATTTACCACCATAAACGTGAGTCTTTGTCATTGTATTTACAAATTTCGATGTTTGATTATCATTAATACACAATACAAAACGTTTTCTTGATGTACAAGTAATGAAGAAAATGTCGATAAGGTTGTTTCATTTAATGACTAGCATCAGCAACTTGTAGGGGCGATAATCCAATTATTACAGTAATGTTCGGCAGATGGAGTAGGAGTAAACTTTCGATTTATGAACCAATGAAAACAAAGTACTGATACTCAGCCTCAGGGACGATAGCAACATGCTGAAGAGCATTCAAAATGCTCTTAGCATAAAAATCAGCAAAAAATATACATAAATAAAATAAAATAAACAATGTTTTACCGTGATGTCGCTTTAACAAAGATGTCATTTCAAACCCATACAAAGGGTACTCGTGTGACGCTTTGCAAGAAAACTGTACAAAATCATCTTGTACACCTCATTTTACCATTTAAACAAACGTAATTATGATATTCAATTTACGGAAATTCTTTATAAATCTACAAACGTTAGCGCGGCCCCGATTGCAGAAATTTTCAGTTACACACTTGTGTATTTACACGATACTCTGTATAATATCTATGATCCAGTTACTTTCCACCTCTCAGGAAATCGAAACGACCCCGCCTCACATCTCCACTGGAAGCCACTTTCGGTTCAGTCATTTCATCCAATAACGGGCAACACAATTCTGGTGGAGAGTACAATTCTGCTACTCGCCGTCAAGTGTGTAGTGAAGGGGTTACCAGAAGAACCATGTGACACAAGTGAAGGTTGACGTGTATAATACAGCTACATTGACATTGACACTCGTCAGGAGCACCCATTGGTTTGCGAACAGTTTTGCTAATTCCCCACAGCCCGCCTTTCGCGATGGAAGTAACGTTGATGACGTTGTGATTTTTTCCATAACAACGCCACCAACATGATATCAGCTGTTAGGATTGTGTGGAGGAAATCTCCATACTGTCACGCCTTTTCAGTGTACATTTTGAAATTTCGTTAAATTTATTTAAACTTTACATTTGATAAAAGAATAAAGAAAATGGTAATCTAAACTTTATATTTATAATCTAACCTTTATAATTATGTAGTAGAAACAGTATTTAGCCAAGCCAAAATACTTGGAATTCTAAACATGTTGGGTTTCGTTATTAATCCTGTGTGGACAGATGTCTTCCATAATCCAGTTATTTACTTGTAAGTTTAGAGTCAATTAGTCACTTGTATTACAAGCTTTGATGCTAAGATGTTAGGTCTACATACAATTAACATGTCTAAGTAAAAACCTGTTTCTAAACAGGATTGGTAAAAAGTGTAACTCCTAATTAGTGTCAACCATTGTGTGTCAATGGACGTAAACAAACAGATGGTTTTTCAGCTTATGTATGATTTACGCAAAAGCAAATTGTAACAGGTATAGGACGCGTGACATGCGCAGTAGTTTTCGAAGTAAATCTCTTGTAAAACATCCTTTTGATTGGCTAGGTAATTAGGGACTAGTGATTTGATTGGTTAATTGACCACTCACCGTTTTGAGGTATATCTGGGGTTCCAACCTTGATTGTCGCACTTTTTATTCGACATTCAACAATAAACATCGGAAACTCAAAGAAGCCTCAATTCTCTATTACACAGGTGAGTCAAGTCTACTTAAATTTTCTTATGTTTTCTTAATAGCAAATATGTAAATAGATATTTGATTTTTTTTTAGCCATGCTTAGATTTAAATAATGTTATTGCTATTTTTGTATTATTCAAGAAAACCATTTAAATTTATAATGGATTGGTGTAGGTACATGTACTTTGTCAGAATAGAAATTATTTTTATTCCAGTTGGCAAAGTATTATTTTGCTTTCTTCATAGTTTAATGTAAATAGCTTTCATATGTAAATAATTACTGATTTTTAATAGATGATAAAAGAACATTTTATTTTTGTATAAATTTGATGATAAATTGAGTCAATCCGGATATTTTGGTCATTCCGGAATTGATTCTAATTTTATAGCTTCATGTTTAACTTCCGGATTTGGAGCACGGAAGCAGTTCTTATAAGGGAGTATACGATTCATAATGTTTTGTGGATGATTGTTATATGTATTTTAATAGTAGGTACCCGATAACTGGCCTCCGGCCGGTGATCGGAATGTCTAGTCAAGATATGTAACTTGTAAGCGCTCGCGCAACATTTTGTCATTTAAATCCATAACTTATTTGGTAAACATCTAGGCGTTAAGCACATTGTATGTACATTCGATACATGTTTAGTTTAGGTATAATTCATTTGTATTGATGTAAAGGTCGCACTTTTTATTCGACATTCAACAATAAACATCGGAAACTCAAAGAAGCCTCAATTCTCTATTACACAGAGCTAATTCCTCAGAACAGGAGAAAAGTAACGCATTAATCCTGTAACAGTTGGTGGAGACCTAAAAGATCCCAGGTGTTGATAGATGTCAGCGCCAAGCAACGACATCAGAGCTAGTGCAGCAAACAGAATAACCAGCGACTACTGGCTGAGAGGTAGAGATCAGTTCCGGCCAAGTTCGACGGAACACACAACCGACGAAGATGCAATAAGTCATCATTCGGACGAGGAAACAGGTATGGCATCCATTACTCATGGTGTGTCGATAGGAAAATTTTCTGGCAATAAAGATGAAGATCCCGTAGCATTCATAGCCAGGTTTAAAAACTATTTAGCTTTAGTACAAGCCAAAGATGAACAGAAAGCACCATTGTTTGCCCTCAGTTTGGCTAATGATTCATGCGCATATCAGTGGTATGATGGACTTCCAGAGGCGACGAAAATAGACATCAACCTTCTAGAAGAAGTGTTTTTAGCTCGATTCTCAACTAAACAATCATCTAGGTGGTCCAGTGTAAGGGAAGTCAACCAAATGACACAAGGGTATATGCAGCCAGTGCTAGAATATATTCAAAATGTGAGATACAAGGGCAAAATTGCCAAAATGTCTGATACTCAAATATTTGATGCAATTTTAGGGGGTTTAAGACCTGAAATCAGATCTGCAGTTATTCAGAGAGAGCCAGTTGATCTTAACACTCTGATTAACATTGCAGATTTAGCTGAAGTAGCTATTGTAGGTAGTAATACAAAGCAAGAGCCCGAATCAATTTCGAATCTAGTGCTGGATAGGATTGAGGCTTTAGCTTCAGACCTTAAGTCAATAAGGAGTGAGGTCAATGTTATAAGGTCGCATAGCAACAGTTACTCACAAACAAACATGCATCAAAACAGATCAAACAGACCAAACAGACAACAAACACATAGGTCACATAACACCTCAACTCAACAGTCACAGTCTTGTGGTAGGTGTGGATCTAGGCAGCATTCGCAAAACAAAGACTGCCCAGCATATCTCAATAAGGCTAAGTGTCATGCTTGTGGCAATGTAGGTCATTTTAAAAAAATTGTGTAAAACACAAAAATCATCCCAATAGGAATTTTCGCCTAGCAGGGTTAAAGGGGTTCCCTTGCCGAGGCCAGAAACATTAAGTCCATGTTTTTCTACTGACTTAAAGGATAACTTTATAGATATAACTTTTTCAAAGTCAGATGTTTTTGCTAGTGCATTAGTTGACACAGGGGCTAGTATAAGCTGTATATCAAAATCCCTATTTCATAAAATAGATCCTAAGGGAAAAGTAGAACCTTCAGACATAAACCATGTATTTGGAGTAGGAGGAAATCTACATAACATAGATGGATGTGCTAAATTATCTTTTAAATTAGGAGAACAGGAGGTACAACAAACGTTTTACATTTTTCCAAGATTACACCAGCAGGTTATTTTAGGGATGGATTTCTTAGGGAAATATAAGGGAACTGTGAATGTAGGGGACAAAAAGATGTCAATATTTGTAGGGTCAGCTTTAGTAGAGTGTAGGACCCATTCTAAATTTAATGTTGGGGTAGCTAGAGTAAGTACTACCTTTACTGTCCCGCCACAGGAACAAGTTCTCATCCCTGTTAAGTTATCTAGAATCCCAGAGTGCTCAGTAGCTATCATGGAACCAACAGTAGACCTGTTAAAAACTACTAAGTTAGTTGGAGGTAAAATTATTGTAACCTGTCACAAAGGTAAGTCTGTGTGTATGCTTCTTAATCCTAATAACATACCTGTATGCTTGAAAGCTGGTACCATAGTAGGTAAGTTATTACCCATTGATGCCAAGTCAATTGCAGAGCTACAGGAAACAAAAGAGGCTGAACAAGACACAGGTAGGAGTAAAGCTTTTGTATCTAGCTTAAGTCCTGAGAACAAAGAAAAGTTGTTGGCTATAGCTAAATCATTAGGCATTCCCTTAGATGATGCAGACCTTACAGAGGATCAAAAGACACAGTTATTACACTTCATAGGGAGAAATAGGGATGTATTTTCTGTAAGTATGGAGGAGCTAGGATGTACAGATGTACACTACCATAGGATTGAAACAGGTGACGCACCTCCTTATAGACAAAGGTTCTATAGGCACTCTCCAGCAGTAAAAGCTGAAGTTGAACGACAGGTAAATGAAATGCTAGATAATGACATAGTAGAGCCATCGGTTTCAGTATGGAATGCACCAGTGGTAATGGTACGGAAGAGAACAGGTGAGTATAGATTTGCAGTAGATTATAGAGGTCTGAACTCTCAAACTCGTCCTGTCAGCTTTCCCCTGCCACGTCTAGAAGATGTGTTTGACAGTGTAGGTGAATCAAAATCTCAACTATTTTCAGTGCTAGATTTGGCTTCAGGATTTTGGCAGATACCATTAGACGAACAAACAAAACACAAATCTGCCTTTGTAACTCATCATGGTGTATTTCAATTCAAACGATTACCTTTTGGCTTAATGAATGCACCAATGAGTTTTCAGATGGTCATGTCTCAAGTGTTAAGAGGTCTTTTCTGGAAATTTGTACTAGTATATGTCGATGACATTCTCATTTACAGTAAAGATTTCAAAGAACACCTGAATCATTTGCAGCAAGTTTTTGACCGCTTGCGTGCAGCAAATCTCAAGTTAAAGCCATCCAAATGTCAGTTTGCACTTAAAAGAGTTGAATATTTAGGTCATTTTCTTTCCAAAGATGGTGTAGAAGTCAATCCTGCTACTACAGACAAGGTAAGAGATTTTCCCGTGCCACGCAAAGTACGTGATGTTAGAGCTTTTATTGGTTTGTGTAATTATTATAAGCGATTTGTCAAAGATTTTGCTAAAATTGCTAGGCCTTTGAATAAGCTTTTGCAGAAAGATCTGAAGTTTGAGTGGTCAATTGAGTGTCAGAAATCTTTTGACACCTTAAAGCAAGCTTTAGTAGCACCTCCTATTTTAGCATTCCCACAAATGGACAGAGAGTTTGTTCTGTCAACCGACGCATCTGGTACAGCTATTGGATGGGTCTTAGGTCAGTTAGATGATGAAGGGAGGGAACGTGTCATCGCTTATGGAGGAAGAGCACTTAGAGGTAATGAAGTTAAATTTGGCGTATCTGAGAAAGAGTGTTTGGCTTTAGTAGAAGCAGTACAGGCATATCACCCATATCTTGCCAATAAACACTTTAATGTTTATACAGACAATTTGGCTCTAAAATACCTTAAAACTATAAAAGACAAACAAGGAAGACTAGGTAGGTGGGCATTAAAATTCCAAGGCTACCACTTTACTATTCATCATAAGCCTGGCATAAAAAACCAAAATGCTGATGCTTTGTCGCGACGCACTTATGAGGATGCAGTTGAGTCAGGTGACTCCCCATCACCAGAAATGAATGAGGTAAGTACACTTCCTCAACAAACCAACACAGCTACTCAGGGTACTGATGTTGCTTCTGAAACTCATCAGACCCAACATACTGTGGACTCTGATATCCAAGGTAAGTGGGTTCAAGTACAATTTATAGATGCTGATAAGTTACAACCCAAACCTGTGCCCTCAGTGTTAGAGGTAAGCGCACCTGAGCCAGATGATGATTTAACTGTAGATCTTGACCAAGTGCAACCAAACAGTCCCCTTGACATCAACCAAGTTAGAACACTGGAACTTATTGCTGAACAGAGAAATGATGACAGTTTTAAGGCAATCGTAGATTTTAAGCTCTCAGGAACTGTGCCTGATGATAGAAACAAGGCAAAATCTATAGTAGCTCAGTCTCATTCCTTTGAGATTGATCACCAAGGTGTATTGTATCATATCTGGAACCAAAGGACTACCGTCAGAAAAGGTCCAGTCAGGTTTGTTAAACGGCTAGCGGTACCAAAAACCTATAGACAAAATATAGTTCAAGCTTTTCATGATAGTCATGCGGGAGGTGTACACATGGGTATCAATCGAACTCATGGTGCACTTAAACTCAGGTACTATTGGCCTTCTATGTTTGTAGATGTAGAGACTTATGTAAAGTCCTGTATAGTTTGTCAAACTTGTAAACGAGACTACAACAAAGGTAAGGTACCACTTTCACCATTACCAGTTGCTGGAAAATTTGAAAGATGGCACATGGACATGTTAGGTCCGTTGCCTGTCAGTAAAGAGAAGTATATCTATATTTTACTGGTAGTAGATAGTTTTTCGCAGTGGTGTGAAGCTCATCCCTTGCGTAGCCAAGAGTCATCAGAAATTGCCAAGGTTTTGTATAAAGAAATTTTTACGCGGTATGGTTGTCCTGCTACACTTGTCTCGGACCGAGGCAAAAACTTCATGGGTAAGTTGATATCAGCTTTGTGAGAGTTATTCAATGTAGGGCGATCACATACTAGTTCTTATCATCCGCAAACTAATTCAGTAGTTGAAAGAACAAACAGTACTTTGGCAGCTAATTTAAGAGCTTGTTGTGAAGGAGATCAGACAAGTTGGTCAGAAAAGCTACCAGGGATTATGATGGCCTATAGAATGACACCAGGTACAGAAGCGTCAGAGTTCTCTCCATTTTATATTGCCTTTGGTATGGAGATGAGAATGATGGTAGATACTGAACTTATACCTAAGGACTCCATTGGTAGAAACCAGAAACAGGTATTAAATGAGATAATAGAAAATACCAAGTTGGCTGAAAAGGTAGCGAAGGAAAATATAGAGCTTCGAAAAGCTAAACTGAAGCAAAGACATGATGAAAAGGCAAAAGTGCCAGACTTTCAGGTAGGTGATAGAGTTCTATTATCTGATCCACAAATAAAAATAGGTGAGTCCTCAAAACTTCATAAAAAGTATAAAGGTCCTTACACTATAGTCAGATTAGGACCAAATTATACTTATAAACTCAGGAATAATGCAACAGGTAAGTTGGTAGATTCGCTCATTAATGCTACAAGGCTTAAGCACTTCCTGGATATAGATCATACACTTAGAGCTCAGGAGGGTGGGGCACAACAGCCACCAGCTCTACATCCACCACCACTTCCACCAGATCAACCCATAGATCCACCTGATCCGCCCATAGTTCCTCCCCAGTCCCAAGATAACCCAACTGACCACTCCGAAACAAATTCTCAACCGGATAGATCTCAAGAAGAATATCCAATAGAGAAAATTCTGGGTAGTAGAGTTAGGGCAGGGGTACAACAGTTTAGAGTTAAGTGGTTAGGGTATCCTGGAACAGAGTGGATTCCTAGTACAAATCTCAGACCAGAGGTTGTGGAGGAATACAATAAAACACATACCAAAACTGGACGTAGACGTAAACGGACTTACTTTAACCGATAAATAAAGGTTTTAGAGTTTTAGAGGGGTACAGGAGCATAACTTTCCTACATGTAGTGTTGAACTATTTAACTGTAGGTAAACAAGAAATACTCATAAATTAAAAAGGGAATATGACACTGAATTGCATAACCTGTAAGTTAAACAACTAGTATAAAACAAGTATATATTATTATTTGGTAAGTTGAACATACAAGATGTATTAGTTCAAGTATTATAGGTCAATTACTCTAAGAGTAATAAATAGGGACCTTATATGTAATGAGTACTCAAATTTAGATATTGTCTTATAACCTTGTAAAGGTGAAATTTAGATAACCCTTTTAATGAGCCTGTCATAAGTACACTGTTTAAGAAGACTCTTTTAAAGGTCTTTTAAATACAAGGGTTAAATGAAAGTTAACTGATTAATAATTATTTTAATATTTAAACAACTTGTAACTCAAGAAAGATTTCCTGAAGTATTGGCACATTTCATAAATTTATGATAATTTTCCACAAAAATCCCTATTTAAAAGCACAGTAGAACAATTTTAGAGATATTTTTGGTAATACCTACATTTTTGGCCACATTTTTTTTTTTTCTTATTTCCTTGCTTGTCATTTCTAGGGATGATAGTTTGAATCCAAATTCATAATAGTGCTAGGGTGACTTGCAATAACCCATGATTTGTACTATCAACCATATTGATACAAGTGATACCGGTATATATATATAAAAAAAAAAAAAAAAAATGGAAATAAACACCAGTCTTAAGACTATTGCCATCTCTTTGTAGGTAAACAAGTAAAGATGTCTCCTTCATTGGTTCTGTGTGTCCTTTTTCTCGCCATGGCCTATGGGAATGTGGAAGGAACGCCATACGATAAAATCAAAGAACTTTTTAATTACGGTGCAACCTTTGAAGAAAAAGGCACCTTATATCCCTCAGGAAATCATTGGGTACACTACTTTGAAATTGAATTACAAACTTTTCCCTTTGTATCGGAGAAACCTACGCCCTGTTCCAACTGTCCATGGTACAGTGAAGCTATGGTTGAGATTTTGGCCTTACACCGACAGACAGCAGTAGATGTCGGGACAATTTTAGGCGAAATTAAGTCATTATTACCCCATCACTCATTAGCGAGACTACCAATGACTAGAAGGCGAAGATCATTTTTACCCTTCATAGGATCTCTTGCTAAAACTCTATTCGGAACCTCTACTTCTTCAGATTTGAACAGTTTATCAAGAAATGTGGCGTTGATTAGAGCTAACCAACAGAAAATGGCTAAAGCTACAGCTCATCAAATTGGTATTTTTGCAGCAGCTATTAGAAATTTTGATTCTAGAATTGACAACATTTTTCAAGGCATAACAGATAATCATGAGGCAATTGAAAAGTTAGGTGAGAACTTTAATAATTCCCTAATATCCAGTCAGGTAGCCCAGGGTAAGTTATTGTCAGCTATGACAAAGCAAACACGTTTAACCTTAAGAATATTGACTAGGTTTGAGGAGTTATTAATGGGGGTTTTGTCAACAATTCAAGGAAAGTTATCTCCCCTGCTTATACCACATCACACCTTAACTCATGTTTTATCACATATTCAAAGTTACATTCAACCTCATGGATTTTACTTGACACATTCTCATCCAGGATTTTATTATAAACATGCCAAGTTCACAATTTTTCGTAGATTTTCTAACATTTTAATTTCTGTTGAATTTCCAATTACCACTATGACACTGCAACTTTACAAACTTAATACTTTTCCAATACCAGTCAATAGTACAACAAGGCACGGTACTCAGTTAGATAGCCCAAATGATCATTTACTTTTATCTAAAGATGGCAAATTGTTTAGGGAGACAAATTCTAAAGATTTACAGACATGTTCTCGAAATGGCAATATTTGGCATTGTCAAAATCATATGATTTTAAGAAATGACACTAAAAGATCATGCTTATTGAGTCTCTTTAATGGACACAAGCAATATATAAATGCTAATTGTGTTTTTCATTTTGTCCCAAATGTCATTCGGCCTTCTATTGTCCAACTCAATCAGACCCATTTGGTTTTGATAAATGTGTCAGACATTACTTTACATTGTGAGAATAGGAAAATAGTGGAGAAAGGATGTTCTTTTTGCATTTTGGCTATTCCATGTAAGTGTTCTCTATCTAGTTCTTCACTGTACTTAGATCCTTATTGGAATAGATGTAACAAAAATGAAACAAGTAAAATATCAAAAGTTCATGGTGTAAACCTTATACTGTTACAACAATTTTTCAACAAATCTTTGAAAGCGTTGCAACCAAATTCAACCTTTTCAAAAATACTTGTACAACTACCACATTTCAGATTTTTTACACACAATTTTACAAACATAGTAGAATCTGAAAAACAGTCAAAACTAGACCTAAAGAAAGTAGCCTTAGCTGCAAAAGAGAATAAAATGATTTTTCAAAGGTTGTCAGAATCAATGTTGGATTACCAGTCCAACTTACCACAAACAATTGATTTACCATCTCTTTTGGCATATATATCTACAGCACTGGCACTAATCATTCTTCTAGCTTTTGTGTTTTTGTTTATAAAATACAGAACTCTAGTTACAACAGTGACACTGCTTTCAAGGACTAGTGAAGTACATAGCTATGCACTGCCACCAGTTTTTCATTATACTACTGAGTCTTCAATCACTACAACTACATTTCCAGTAGACATTACACCACATCTCTACACAACATCAGAAGTACTGGGTATTTTATCATTGTTCCTTATTGGCATATTTATGCTTTACAAGGTAGTAAAAAAAGACAAGTTTAAACTAGTCATAGAACTTACAAACAATGACGACACAGTTTTAATACCGGTAGTAAGACTACCTTATGCACATGATGGTTTAACCTTTTTGACATCCGCTTCATTGTCTGATTTTAAAGTCAAGTATGGTATCAGATCATTTTTAGAGATTGATTGGGCAGATTTTGCTGTAGAAGATAGTAGTTTTGCTCAGAAGTTTACAATGCCTTCAAAGATATTGGTAAATCCTGTCATAGCTTACAGAACTGACAGAATAATTAGTAAACCATTCACAGTATTGTTATACAAACAGTTAGGAAGAGTTATGTACCCTGTTGTTATCACTCCAAAAGCTGAGTCTGTAAATTTCAATAGTAAAATCTATCCAGATCTGCATAAAAACTGATTTTACATTTTTCATCAGTGTATTCTGGTACTTTCTTCTCAACCTAAAAGCATCAAAATTAATGTAAATATGTTTTGTATATATATATTTCTATTTCTGAGAAATAAATAGATATTACTAGATAGAACTGGTATGCATATATCCATTAAAATTAGCATAGTTTTCCTGACCACTATGAACTTATGGACTACACGTATAATGGGAATCAGGAGCTAAATGATGTGCATTTCATTCTCCAAGTGAAGGAAAAGAAAATCCAACATTGTGACTACGTGTATTCCCTGGATTTACAGTGTTTTTCAATGGACTAGTTGCTATCACTTATAGTGATCATATGTGTAGCAACATAACTGGATTACTTAATATCCCTTCTGCAATGGACGGAGTGATTCACAAAGAAAAAAAAAATCAGTGAAGATGATTTTCCAATATTTTACTGACTTTATACAATCTTGTGTTTTTGTTTTTGAATTTTTCCTTTGATATTGAGTATTGTGTATTTATGTTGTAATGATGATGCTGATGCATACACTGTAATATTGGACATGTGTATCACACGCTTGGATTAATGTTGTAAAAAAAAAAAAAAAAAATGGTCATGTAACATTTTATTATATTGCTTTTATTTGTGTTGATTTATTTGAATATCCTGTGTATATAATCTTCATGCATTATGTAATATGTTTTTTCAAATATCTCTCATTTATCATAAATTTTTAACTTGTGTAGTAACTATAATAATGTATATGATAGTTTGAAGCATAAATCTGTCACGCCTTTTCAGTGTACATTTTGAAATTTCGTTAAATTTATTTAAACTTTACATTTGATAAAAGAATAAAGAAAATGGTAATCTAAACTTTATATTTATAATCTAACCTTTATAATTATGTAGTAGAAACAGTATTTAGCCAAGCCAAAATACTTGGAATTCTAAACATGTTGGGTTTCGTTATTAATCCTGTGTGAACAGATGTCTTCCATAATCCAGTTATTTACTTGTAAGTTTAGAGTCAATTAGTCACTTGTATTACAAGCTTTGATGCTAAGATGTTAGGTCTACATACAATTAACATGTCTAAGTAAAAACCTGTTTCTAAACAGGATTGGTAAAAAGTGTAACTCCTAATTAGTGTCAACCATTGTGTGTCAATGGACGTAAACAAACAGATGGTTTTTCAGCTTATGTATGATTTACGCAAAAGCAAATTGTAACAGGTATAGGACGCGTGACATGCGCAGTAGTTTTCGAAGTAAATCTCTTGTAAAACATCCTTTTGATTGGCTAGGTAATTAGGGACTAGTGATTTGATTGGTTAATTGACCACTCACCGTTTTGAGGTATATCTGGGGTTCCAACCTTGATTGTCGCACTTTTTATTCGACATTCAACAATAAACATCGGAAACTCAAAGAAGCCTCAATTCTCTATTACACAGGTGAGTCAAGTCTACTTAAATTTTCTTATGTTTTCTTAATAGCAAATATGTAAATAGATATTTGATTTTTTTTTAGCCATGCTTAGATTTAAATAATGTTATTGCTATTTTTGTATTATTCAAGAAAACCATTTAAATTTATAATGGATTGGTGTAGGTACATGTACTTTGTCAGAATAGAAATTATTTTTATTCCAGTTGGCAAAGTATTATTTTGCTTTCTTCATAGTTTAATGTAAATAGCTTTCATATGTAAATAATTACTGATTTTTAATAGATGATAAAAGAACATTTTATTTTTGTATAAATTTGATGATAAATTGAGTCAATCCGGATATTTTGGTCATTCCGGAATTGATTCTAATTTTATAGCTTCATGTTTAACTTCCGGATAGGTGCTCGCGGTTTTATCGAAATAACATAATCGTTAATTTTGGATAGGATTAGAGATTTGGAGCACGGAAACAGTTCTTATAAGGGAGTATACGATTCATAATGTTTTGTGGATGATTGTTATATGTATTTTAATAGTAGGTACCCGATAACTGGCCTCCGGCCGGTGATCGGAATGTCTAGTCAAGATATGTAACTTGTAAGCGCTCGCGCAACATTTTGTCATTTAAATCCATAACTTATTTGGTAAACATCTAGGCGTTAAGCACATTGTATGTACATTCGATACATGTTTAGTTTAGGTATAATTCATTTGTATTGATGTAAAGGTCGCACTTTTTATTCGACATTCAACAATAAACATCGGAAACTCAAAGAAGCCTCAATTCTCTATTACACAGAGCTAATTCCTCAGAACAGGAGAAAAGTAACGCATTAATCCTGTAACAATACTATCATGGAACATTTGTAGACGTTTATGCAGTAAATTAGAGACGCAAGACATTGTTAATATTGTTATAAATCATGATATTATTTGTCTGCATTATTGTTGGGTTGACAAAGATGAAGCGATAGAATTGAAAGAGTATTTATGTTTCACGTCTCCAAGACTACAAGGTAAAGATGGTTGGAGTTGTTATATTTATCGGATTAAATCTATCTATCGTGGATAATGACAACAATGTGCTAGCTAGCAAGATCTAATGACATTGAAACTTATTTTCTTTTTTTTTCTTTCTTTTTTTTTGACTTTCCTCCAATCAACATCACTTTCTATGAGAAATGTGCTAAAGATTTTCTCGTATCTCTTGAACACATGATTTCTATGTATAAATGTATCGGAAGGTATTTGTCTGTGGTGATTTTAATAGTCTGACAACTAGTAATGACTTTTCCAAGACGACACTATTGGGAATGATGCTGCAAACTATTTGCCAAATATATCAAGTTATATTCCTGATGTTAATAACACTAAATGTACTATTTCAGACAACGTATAAAACCAGTTTGGTAGACAGTAAGTATCCTTGTGTAAATAGACTAGCCTGCGAATAGTCAACGGAAGGCATAGAGATGATCCTAACGGCAGCATTACTTTTTACAATCATAGAGGTTCGAGCCTCATAGATTATGTTATGACGTTTGATGATAATTTTAATAGTATTGTCCATTTTGAGAGTTGGGTTTTTCCTGTTTTTGTTGATCATACACCTGTTTGTATATCTCTGAGTACTCAAGTGGTCAGCAGTGAATCAAGAACAACATTTTACAAAATAATGATAAAACAGTACACTTACTATTGTGAAATGGTATGAAGAACATACAGAAAGTGTATTGAATACGTTAAGAAAGAAAAAGAGAAGAGTTATTGAATATTTGTATGCATTGTGAGTTGAGTGAAATGGGTATTGATAGTTGTGGAGACAAAATTACCAATACTTCACATGACTTGCTGTTACTTTTAATTCACGTTCACAATCAGTCTATCAGGTTAAAATGGAAGATAAACCCTGGTTTAATGAAGCTTGTAAACAAATATAAATCGGCATTGATAAATTTCAATTCGGATGAATCAGATGAAAACAGAAACACTCTTCTTCGTACCAAACGAGCATATGAAAATTAGAATGAAAGTTTTCGGAATTTTCAAATGCTTACATAGATGGAAATATACCTGACTCTATATTTAAGAATTAGACTGTGACATTACTGAAGAAGAAATTCTAAATACTAATGATAAACTCCATACTTCCAAAGTTGTTGGTTAGGACTTACTACTAAATGAATATTTTATTAAGGGTATACTCCTTCCATGTCTAGTGGTATTACTTAATAAGTCTGGAAACTATCCACAATCTTGATCTGTTGGTAACATAGTACCAGTTTTTGAAAATGGGCGATAGAAACGATACAAATAGCTATTGTGGTATCACATTAATAAGTTGCTTAGTAAAACTTTTTATTTCAATTTTGAATAAACGACTTATTGATTTTCATATAATATATTCAATAATTAGCGACACTCAGTTTGGCTTTAAGAGAAATATGTCAACCACTGATGCTATATTTGTTCTGCAGATGTTGATTCGTAAAACGCTGAAAAATAAGATAATATTGCTGTTTTATTGATTATACGAAAACACTCAACTTCTTTATCAGGCAAAACCTGTTATAAACTTATCAAAAACGGCATAACAGGAAAAATGTTGACTATTATTCGGTCTTTGTACAATGATGTTAGATATAATTATAGTTTATCTGACTTCTTTGATTGTAGAAACGTCCAGGGGGAAAGTTTATTCCCAGTGATGTTTTCCTTGTATGTGAATGACTGTGAAATTAATTCGTCTAACAAATGAATATCATCCCATTGACTTACAAACGATAAATTCATTCTTGCTAATATCTTTCAGACGACATGGTTCTGTTAGCTGAAACACTCGAGGGTTTACAAAATGTGTTAGATGCTTTGTTGATATATACATATGAATGAGGGTTCACTGTAAATATAGAAAAAACCGAACGACATTGTTTTTAGAAACTGATGTAAACCAAGGGAAAGTGATTGCTGGAATTATAACGGATGCGAACTAGAAAATGTCGATGGAATTATAACGGATGCGAACTTGAAAGTATCGATGGAATTATAACGGATGCGAACTTGAAAGTATCGATGGAATTATAACGGATGCGAACTAGAAAGTATCGATGGAATTATAACGGATGCGAACTTGAAAGTATCGATGGAATTATAACGGATGCGAACTAGAAAGTATTGATGACTTTAATGACTTGAGTGTTTCGTTAAATTTCAATGGAAAATTCAGCAAAGATCAGGAAAAAATTGCTGTAAAGAAAAAAGGCGACTTTTTGACGAAATCAATGTGTACATGAAAAATTACCTCAACCCTGAAACAAAACTTCGTGTCTTTGATACATATGTTGCTAGTATTTTGAATTATGGCTGTAAAGTCTAGGGATTGCGTAAAGCATTCGATATAGGAAACTTACATCTAAGTTTTCGTGAAAAAAATATTAGGGATTAAGAACACACCAGACTATATGATTTATAATGAATTAGGAAGATGACCAATGAGTTTTATTCGTAAATTAAAAATAATAAAACATTGGTTCAATTTTTTTTTAAAACTCAGACAACTGTATTCTGCAAGCTTGCTACAACGAAATTATTGCGAATAGAGATTGATATGAATATGTGAGAAATTAATGGTATGGGATTGGGATGCATGTGGTACTGTGGTAGTATGAGCGATACACCTTTCGATAGGTTGCTTTTATAAGTTGCATTGAATTTTAAGTGGATCAGCACCGTGTATGCTAGTGACGCTACACCCACATAGACGACTTCATGAGACCAATATGAGAAAAACACTTAAGGGAGGACGGTGGACGAGAGTCTGTCTCGAAAGGGGACATCTAAAACGTTACTGTCCAAATTTAACGACATATTTAAATGAGAGAGAGGGAGGGTGTGTGTGTGTGTTAGGGGGTGGTGGGGGTGGGGAGAGAGGGGGAGGGTGTGTGTGTGTGTGTGTGTGTGTGTGTGTGTTAGGGGGTGGTGGGGGGTGGGGAGAGAGGTGTGTGTGTGTGTTAGGGGGTGGTGGGGGGTGGGGAGAGAGGTGTGTGTGTGTGTGTGTGTTAGGGGGTGGTGGGGGTGGGGAGAGAGGGGGAGGGTGTGTGTGTGTGTGTGTGTGTGTGTGTTAGGGGGTGGTGGGGGGTGGGGAGAGAGGTGTGTGTGTGTGTGTGTGTGTTAGGGGGTGGTGGGGGGGTGGGGAGAGAGGGTGTGTGTGTGTGTGTGTGTGTGTGTGTGTGTGTGTTAGGGGGTGGTGGGGGTGGGGAGAGAGGGTGTGTGTGTGTGTGTGTGTTAGGGGGTGGTGGGGGGTGGAGAGAGAGGGGGAGGGTGTGTGTGTTAGTGTTTATATTGGTTGTATTGTCTTATTGTTGTTTGTATTTGTACACTGATAATCCTTACGGATTAAAGTAATAAATAATCTGAATCAGTTGCAAATTTCCTGATGCGCTATATTTAGACGGCTTAGCTTGAAGTGTTCCCGTCATGTCCCCACTCACCACAGGAGAGGTATCTCATTGAGTTCTTAAAAGGCAAGGAACAGTCAGAAATTTTGCAACTTAAAATATCCCTTTAAAACAAAGGCAGTTCTTTGTTTTTTCTCAGATGGAACAATCTTTGAAAATATCTCTCTTCTTAATGATTTATATAATTAATTTAAACTGAAGAATTCCACAGAACTAATAAGAATGCTAAATCTTTCCTCTTTTCACTTCCTTATTGTCGGGAACCGTCAGCAATCTTTAATCTTCACTTTCGGATGTATGATCATTTACATTAAAAATGGATTATTTACAGTAAAGTTAACAAATTTCATTTTTCAAAATCACGGGGGAAATGATATAAAGTTGGGAAGAAGCCAAATTTTCTGATTGACAAATTTTCTATTAGCAAGGGAAACGTGAATTGTATTTTTAAAAAAAATATTTCACACCTCAAAAGAGAATAGTGTCAAATTGGTACCAGCTGGTCTCTGTGATAGTATCAGGAACGGTTGGCTGTTCATACTGACCAAGACCTGTGACAATTTCTACCATGGTTTGTGATCACCATACCAGCCAAAGTTCCCCATTGTGTCGAGAGTTTCCCCGTTTCCACTCCCCAGCCCCGCCTCCCGATCGCATGGAAGAAACTTGGGGGAATCTCTCGGTTTTAGATATCTCGCTACGTAGGTCATAAGTAACCTTGCTACAACTGTAAAATGGTAAGGCTGACCACCTGGGTGAAAATTAACTACAGGTAGAATGTAAAAATGAATTACATTTGACAGTGACACCGAATGACAACGAAATGTCTACAGTACGCTTACTCCGATTTTTCTTGTTATGTCGATAATTGCCTGCTTAATGCCCGTGTGAGTTTTCTGATATTTATATAAAACAAATAAATGATAACACAGACATGTGAAAACCAACGACACCAACTGATGAGCCGGTACTAAAGTACAGTATAGAATTTAACAGTAGTCTTTTCTCATAAAGCAATTATGCGCTCTCTCAATTTACAAGCGTTTATACGACATCGACGAACTGCCGCTTATCACGTGTGAAAATAGAAATTTCCAGCAAACCATTTTCAGATTCGAGAAACCGGCGTTTCATCATATAGCGTAAAGTATACCTCCATTATTTGTAGTTTGTACACAATGGAAGCGACACCAGAAAAAATAGATATTACACCGTCCAAAGATGGCGGTGTGTTAAAAGAAATTCTGCGAGAAGGAACTGGGGAAGACAAACCGTTGGCTGGTGATAAAGTGTTTGTGCATTATGTTGGAACGCTTGAAGATGGCACAGAATTCGACTCTAGCAGAAGACGCGGGGATAAATTTGATTTCGACCTGGGAAAAGGTACGCATGATTCAGTTAAACTGATGGGGGTCATTGTACGTGGTCAGGTGGTAGTGTGCAAACAGAATTATAATCATAGACCTTTCTGGCAAATTACCTCCCTTTATCTTTGTAAAATTTATTCGCCTTGTCAAGAATTAATGTAACTTTTTAATAATTCAGAAATGTATATACATATATATAATATTTTAGTGACAGAAACGTAGTCAGTGTCCCCAAAGATCTTAATTCCACGATAACTTAAACATACACTGGTATACATAGGTTTAAATTCCCACAAAAACTTCCAAACATCCACTGGTTTTTCCACAGATGTAAATTCCTACACAAATATTTTAAAACATCCACTGGTTTTCACAGATTACAATTTCTAAGCAAACAATTAAAACTAGATCCCAGTTTCCATAAATATGTCAAGAAAAATGGATGTATGCTGTCTCTTAGATAAATTTTCTTATATTGTGGCCAGGTCACTGTTACAGAAATGTTACTTATGTGGGGCTGCCAGTGCCTTGGTAGATTTACTTGTCCCTCTGTTGTTTCTACATATTAGAGAAGACAATTCACAAGAATTTCTCCCCTATCAAGCCAATGTTATCCTGTTTGAATTATTAATACTTAAAAGCTGTGATAAATCTGCCGAGTCCTGAACTCATAGAATTTTGATGGGACTCGTGGATTTAATGGAAATATTTAAATTGTTCATTGTGGGACCCGTTGTTATTAGAAATTAAGTTTAAAAGGCAACTCCTCTTCATTTTACCATAATAATTAACAGTGAGGATTTTTTACCAGATAAGTGTTATCAGGTATATGAACATTTTTCAAAGACTGAAAAGGAGGTCATTTCAGTTACTATATATCAGGGATTTTTTTTGCAGGTATATAATTTTTTCAAAGTTAGTGACCCTTTAAAAATTGCAAAAAATCAAAATTGCTAAATTTGCATATCTTCTTCTTTTTATTGCAAACATATTAGTTATCTACAGAGTAGATGTACCTGAGCACTTTCTAGCCATGAATACTTCTATAATAAATAAATACTGGCGGGTATGTAAATCTCTTATCTAGTTTGACTGGTCAGTAAGATAGCTTATTGATGTTAGATTATACACCAATGTCCACTCTAAAGTAGTCAGTCTTCAACAGAGACCTTCCAAATTTCTGAGACAACGAAATTGCTAAAAAATAAAACAAGCAGAAATTGCAGAACATATATTTTTAGGCTTTTTGCAAAAATTGCACATTGCAAAACTATCCTTATATATAAGGTACCTTTCCAAATTATGTAAAATTATTTTTTTGTTGGTTTTCTTACAGGGAGTGTCATCAAATCATGGGATTTGGGTGTTGCCACTATGAAAAAGGGAGAAATCTGTCGACTTACGTGTCGCAGTGATTATGCGTATGGTGAGAATGGATCCCCACCTAAAATACCTGCTAACGCTACTCTGATATTTGAAGTGGAACTCTTTGAATGGAAAGGTAATAGAACTTCATACTGAAATGTTTGTCTGTCTCTATACAATACTTCAATTACACATAACACTGATGCTAGTGGTGAATTCATTTCGTTGTGGCTATGATAAAGTGAAGCATTACACTATTTTCTTACTAATTAGCTTTTTTGTTCACCAATTTTTTTTCTAATCATCCTGATGGTTAAGTTAATAAGTAGGAAGATAGTGAAATGCTTCACTTTACCATGGCCATGGTTGACATTTTATCATACTGGTGAAATGGACCATGGGCTTCACTTTACCATGGGCTTCACTTTATCATGGGCTTTACTTTATCATGGACTTCACTTTGTCATGGACTTCATGGGCTTCACTTTATCATGGGCTTCACTTTATCATGGGCTTCACTTTATCATGGACTTCACTTTATCATGGACTTCATGGACTTCACTTTATCATGGGCTTCACTTTATCATGGACTTCACTTTATCATGGACTTCATGGACTTCACTTTATCATGGACTTCACTTTATCATGGGCTTCACTTTATCATGGACTTCATGGACTTCACTTTATCATGGACTTCACTTTATCATGGACTTCACTTTATCATGGACTTCACTTTATCATGGACTTCACTTTACCAAGGGCTTCACTTTATCATGGGCTTCACTTTATCATGGACTTCATGGACTTCACTTTATCATGGGCTTCACTTTATCATGGACTTCACTTTATCAGAAAACCATCCAGTCAATAAGTCGCCCATGGGTGGTAATTTAAAGAAGGCAGTTATTTGGGTTTAAGAAGATAATGAAAACAATAGTTTTCCATATATTTATTATTATTTCCAGATGCCATGTTGTTGATCCATTGCAGAAGTGCATAAACATCACAGTGATCCAGATTGCTGAATATTAACTCTAATAATGTTAATTTAAAAGTCTTTTGTTGTCTGTCATCTCAGTGGTTAGTAGGAATCTATTTGCAGAATGAAATCTTTTTTCTAATATATAGAAAATATTTAATAGTGGCTTCAATCATAATAAATATTCTTCACAAATGTGTGTAATATTTCAGCTTGTAAAAGATACAAAATATATTAGATACATGAGTGAAATGTATTTGTTATTACTGAAGAAACTTTTAAACATTCTATTTATCACATTTTCACAAGTAAAATAACCAAATACTGACATATTTAGGACAGAAATAAAAGTACGAAGCTATGCTTTTCACAGACACTACTTTAACTTCACAGTAACAAAATATAGTCCATTTTTTAAAAAGTGATTGAAAACACATAAACACAAAAATACATTTCAGTGTAAATCAATTTTCATATTCTCATAGAAAATGCTAATTGTTCATGTCACTTACAGACAAAATTGCTTTAAAATGTAAAACAATAATGGTCTGTGACAATTACTATACGACTGAAAATATGGTGGCACCTAGAAGGTTACTGTCGCTGTCGATGACACAAATTCTCTTGAAATGTCTAGTTTCACTCTCAAGATGTTCAGTTGGGAATTTGGTTTGATCTCTGATAAGGTAATTTGAGTTAGTGACTTGAGTTGTATGCTGACTTCCATGGAAATGAAACTTTACCATGGAATTGAAGGTCACACTTCTAGTAAACAACTCCAATTCCTTCAGATGTCTGGTGTAGTGGTTTTTTTTTGTAACAGGCTTTGTGATTTGTCAGTTTTATAAGATGATCTGTGTTTTCTCATTTCCTTGTGTAAGTCTGCAAAAGTGTTATTTATCACTAGCAATATTTCTCTACGTTTCACTAGCAATATTTCTCTACGTTTCACTAGCAAAAATATAATAAATGAATATATTGCAAATTTCTTTCCCGAATGACGTTTTCGTTTAATGAATGCAGTTTCTAAAAGTTTGAATTTTTGAAAAATATTTCTGCAGGAGAAGATATTTCGGAAAAGAAAGATGGCTCTGTGATCCGACACATTGTACAGACTGGGGAAGGCTACCAGACACCAAATGATGGCGCCACAGTCAAAGGTCAGTGAACGGATACAAGTATGTTGTTATTCAATTTTTTTGCCATGACCACTTCTAAACTTGCTGGTTTGTATTTTTCTTTGGTTACTGGTTATTAATAGCATAGTATTCACTTAATCATTTTTATATGATGGTGAAACTTTACATAAAATTTAGGGTTCTAACATAAATGATGCAGTTTAATCTGCTTTAAACTTTTGTAATCGAACTGGAAGAAAATGTTACACTAGTTCAATTTCTTCACCAAAATATTAAACACACTGTTCCTTGTTATGACAATAAAAAAGAATATTTGAAGAATGTCACCAGTTATGTCCCTTTGTTTATCATAATGTCCCTGTAATGTCAATGACAGAGAATATCTATAGAATGTCTCCACTTATGTCCCTTTGTTTATTAAAATGTCCCTGTTACGTTAATGAATTAACATATAGCATATAAAACCCAACAGCTAGGTTAAAATTCAACAATTTAATGACAACAAATAAATTCTATGCAGCAAAATTACAAATATTGTGATGGTGTACAGAGTTAGCTACTAATTATCAAAAGTCAGAACTTATCTTTCCGTGGAAGTCTCCAAATCCAGAAGAATTCACAATAGATTGTCCAGAAAACAGGGTAACTGAAGAATAATCCAAGAATTGTTTCCTAGCTGGGTATATATAAGTGCAGGTCCACAAGGCACTATCACTAAATCACTGTACAAGTCCACACGTCACAGACTGAATTCTCAAAGTAAGCTCACTCAAGGTGTTAATACTTCAAAAAGGCTCCTCAGGCTTGGTTCCATCATGTTTATATACACTAAAGGTTTCTAGAAAGTAGAATATCTGTAGAACAGTTACCGTATTTGATCCAATAAGCGCCCAGTGCACTTAAAAAATTACAATTAAGGGGGGCGCTTATTAGAGACCATCTTAGATGTAAAAGAAACACATTCAGTGCTAAAAAATCTGCCTCCACCGGGAACTTTCTGTCTCCTTTTTGAGGTGTTTTTAAAGAGGTTTTTAATTCACTCTTTTTGTCTCCAATCACGAATTCGCTTCCTATCTTTACCGTACTGCTTTGATGCTTAGCTGTTTCCCCCATTCCTTGGCAAACTCCACAACTTTTAACTTGAAAGAAATTTCATACGACTTGATTCGGCCTCCTTTGTGAGATTGTGATGTGTCTGTGGTTGCCATAATTTCAGTGTCAACCTTTATGTAATCAGGTGCACTCTGTCATTATATGCTTGTCGATAAATTGTTTCAGAACATCTTAACATGATGACATGAAAGGGAATTTGTTCATGATAAATATATAAAATTCCATTCATACTGTTTTAGCACAACTATTTTATTTGCCATTTGATATCTAACTGCTTCATTTGTTTCTGTCCAATAATCTATCACACATGAAAATATCATTTTTTAATCTGCTGTGTCAATGGCTATCTTACCTGTTAAATAATGGACTATGCCTATTCAGTCTTCGTTACTGTGGCTGAGCGCGCGACACCAAGGTACACAAGGTAAAGGTCATCTACCATGTGGTTTAGGAATGTGTGAAAAAATATCTTTCATGTATGAATATTCGTCTGTGGTCAGGGGATATCATGTTTATAGAGAGTGTTGAAAACCATTCATAGGACAGTGCCTTATACAGTTATTGAGGATAATAATCCGTTTGACAAGTTTGCAATCAGAGTTGTGAAAGAAGGGAAAATAGTGGGTAACATTCCAAATGAACTGTCAAAAACAGCTGATTTCTTTATCAGACATGGTGGGGAAAATGTGGTAGTAGTTATAGAGGACACTTATCGACATTCCTCTGTTGCTGGTGGACTGGAGATTTAACTTTTTTTTTACATTTGTGTGGAGTACATCTCCTTATAAAGCGACTTAAAACAATTCTTGATCGTGACTAAAACGTAAGTAAATCTAGACTTTTAGGTATCTGAAGGGGGGAGGGGGGGTGCTTATAGGGACATGGGCGCTTATTTGGTCGAATATTGTATGTCCCTTTATCATTATTACAAGTTAAGATAAATAATGTGTCATTACAGTACACTATGTGGGCCGCTGTGGTATGACAGTGTTCGATGACCAACAGGTGGAGTTTGTCCTTGGGGAGGGAGAGGAGTCTGGAGTCATTGACGGCCTTGAGGTTGCAATTAAAAAGATGAAAACGAAAGAAAAATGTCGGTTAGAAATTCTGCCGTCAATGGCTTATGGAAAAGCAGGAAACTCCAAATTCAACATTCCGCCCAACACCCCTCTACAGTTTGATGTGGAAATGCTGTCATTTGAAAAGGTAGGCTTTCATACTTTAAATATAAACCAAACATCTTAAATTTTATCATTCCCAGATTGTTACTGCCTTTTCAGAGAAAATGTGTGAGGGATCTTTTTTAAATTTAATGTATATTTGTTTTTGAGACTGTTTGCTGTGAAATTGATTTTTTTGTGCGTTTGATTTTTGTTCTTTTCTTGGTTACTCTTTAAGTTCATGTCTACAGACTGTTGAAATCAGTTCAAGTAGAGCTATACTCATCAATCAATGAAATTAAGTGTTTTTGAAAAAATATGTTTTTTTTTTAATACACAGATAATTTACTTCTATGAGATGATAATTGATTATAAACTATATGACACTTAGACAAATATTGTGTGTGTTACTTGGTGTCAAAATACTACAGAAAAGAGATCCCAGAGGGATGCTTGTGCCCACTACAGAAAAGAGATCCCAGAGGGATGCTTGTGCCCACTACAGAAAAAAAGATACCAGAGGGATGCTTGTGCTCACTACAGAAAAAAGATCCCAGAGGGATGCCTGTGCCCACTACAGAGGGATGCTTGTGCCCACTACAGAGGGATGCTTGTGCCCACTACAGAAAAAAGATCCCAGAGGGATGCTTGTGCCCACTACAGAGAAAAGATCCCAGAGGGATGCTTGTGCCCACTTCAGAAAAAAGATCCCAGAGGGATGCTTGTGTCCAATACAGAAAAAAGATCCCAGGGGATGGTTGTGTCCACTACAGAAAAAAGATCCCAGAAGGATGCTTGTGCCCACTACAGAAAAAAGATCCCAGAGGGATGGTTGTGTCCACTACAGAAAAAAGATCCCAGAGGGATGCTTGTGCCCACTACAGAAAACAGATCCCAGAGGGATGCTTGTGCCCACTACAGAGAAAAGATCCCAGAGGGATGCTTGTGCCCACTACAGAAAAAAGATCCCAGAGGGATGCTTGTGCCCACTACAGAGGGATGCTTGTGCCCACTACAGAAAAAAGATCCCAGAGGGATGCTTGTGTCCACTATAGAGAAAAGATCCCAGAGGGATGCTTGTGCCCACTACAGAGGGATGCTTTAGCCCACTACAGAGGATAGATCCCAGAGGGATGCTTGTGCCCACTACAGAGAAAAGATCCCAGAGGGATGCTTGTGCCCACTACAGAAAAAAGATCCCAGAGGGATGCTTGTGCCCACTACAGAAAAAAGATCCCAGAGGGATGCTTGTGCCCACTACAGAGAAAAGATCCCAGGGGGATGCTTTAGCCCACTACAGAGGATAGATCCCAGAGGGATGCTTGTGTCCACTACAGAGAAAAGATCCCAGAGGGATGCTTGTGCCCACTACAGAAAAAAGATCCCAGAGGGATGCTTGTGTCCACTACAGAAAAAAGATCCCAGAGGGATGCTTGTGCCCACTACAGAGAAAAGATCCCAGAGGGATGCTTGTGCCCACTACAGAAAAAAGATCCCAGAGGGATGCTTGTGTCCACTACAGAAAAAAGATCCCAGAGGGATGCTTGTGTCCACTACAGAGAAAAAAGATCCCAGAGGGATGCTTTAGCCCACTACAGAGGATAGATCCCAGAGGGATGCTTGTGCCCACTACAGAGAAAAGATCCCAGAGGGATGCTTGTGCCCACTACAGAAAAAAGATCCCAGAGGGATGCTTGTGCCCACTACAGAGAAAAGATCCCAGAGGGATGCTTGTGCCCACTACAGAAAAAGATCCCAGAGGGATGCTTGTGCCCACTACAGAGAAAAGATCCCAGAGGGATGCTTGTGCCCACTACAGAGAAAAGATCCCAGAGGGATGCTTGTGCCCACTACAGAAAAAAGATCCCAGAGGGATGCTTGTGCCCACTACAGAGAAAAGATCCCAGAGGGATGTTTGTCCCCACTACAGAGAAAAGATCCCAGAGGGATGCTTGTGCCCACTACAGAAAAAAGATCCCAGAGGGATGCTTGTGCCCACTACAGAGAAAAGATCCCAGAGGGATGCTTGTGCCCACTACAGAGAAAAGATCCCAGAGGGATGTTTGTCCCCACTACAGAGAAAAGATCCCAGAGGGATGCTTGTGCCCACTACAGAAAAAAGATCCCAGAGGGATGCTTGTGTCCACTACAGAGAAAAGATCCCAGAGGGATGCTTGTGCCCACTACAGAAAATCCCAGAGGGATGCTTGTGCCCACTACAGAAAAAAGATCCCAGAGGGATGCTTGTGCCCACTACAGAGAAAAGATCCCAGAGGGATGTTTGTCCCCACTACAGAGAAACAGATCCCAGAGGGATGCTTGTGCCCACTACAGAGAAAAGATCCCAGAGGGATGCTTGTGCCCACTACAGAAAAAAGATCCCAGAGGGATGCTTGTGCCCACTACAGAGAAAAGATCCCAGAGGGATGCTTGTGCCCACTACAGAAAAAAGATCCCAGAGGGATGCTTGTGCCCACTACAGAGAAAAGATCCCAGAGGGATTGTGCCCACTACAGAGAAAAGATCCCAGAGGGATGCTTGTGCCCACTACAGAGAAAAGATCCCAGAGGGATGCTTGTGCCCACTACAGAGGGATGCTTGTGCCCACTACAGAAAAAAGATCCCAGAGGGATGCTTGTGCCCACTACAGAGAAATGATCAGAGAGGGATGCTTGTGCCCACTACAGAGGGATGCTTGTGCCACTACAGAAAAAAGATCCCAGAGGGATGCTTGTGCCCGCTACAGAGAAAAGATCCCAGAGGGATGCTTGTGCCCACTACAGAGAAAAGATCCCAGAGGGAAAAGATCCCAGAGGGATGCTTGTGCCCACTACAGAGAAAAGAGAAAGAGGGATGCTACAGAAAAAAGAGGGATGCTTGTGCCCACTACAGAAAAAAGATCCCAGAGGGATGCTTGTGCCCACTACAGAGGATAGATCCCAGAGGGATGCTTGTGTCCACTACAGAGAAAAGATCCCAGAGGGATGCTTGTGCCTACTACAGAAAACAGATGCCAGAGGGATGCTTGTGCCCACTACAGAGAAAAGATCCCAGAGGGATGCTTGTGCCCACTACAGAGAAAAGATCCCAGAGGGATGCTTGTGCCCACTACAGAGAAAAGATCCCAGAGGGATGCTTGTGCCCACTACAGAGAAAAGATCCCAGAGGGATGCTTGTGCCTACTACAGAAAAAAGATCCCAGAGGGATGCTTTTGCCCACTACAGAGAAAAGATCCCAGAGGGATGTTTGTCCCCACTACAGAGAAAAGATCCCAGAGGGATGCTTGTGCCCACTACAGAGAAAAGATCCCAGAGGGATGCTTGTGTCCACTACAGAGAAATGATCACAGAGGGATGCTTGTGTCCACTACAGAGAAATGATCACAGAGGGATGCTTGTGCCCACTACAGAGAAAAGATCCCAGAGGGATGCTTGTGCCCACTACAGAAAAAAGATCCCAGGGGATGGTTGTGTCCACTACAGAAAAAAGATCCCAGAGGGATGCTTGTGCCTACTACAGAAAACAGATCCCAGAGGGATGCTTGTGCCCACTACAGAGAAAAGATCCCAGAGGGATGCTTGTGCCCACTACAGAGAAAAGATCCCAGAGGGATGCTTGTGCCCACTACAGAGAAAAGATCCCAGAGGGATGCTTGTGCCCACTACAGAGAAAAGATCCCAGAGGGATGCTTGTGCCCACTACAGAAAAAGATCCCAGAGGGATGCTTTTGCCCACTACAGAGAAAAGATCCCAGAGGGATGTTTGTCCCCACTACAGAGAAAAGATCCCAGAGGGATGCTTGTGCCCACTACAGAAAAAAAAAGATCTACAGATCCCAGAGGGATGCTTGTGCCCACTACAGAAAAAAGATCCCAGAGGGATGCTTGTGCCTACTACAGAAAACAGATCCCAGAGGGATGCTTGTGCCCACTACAGAGAAAAGATCCCAGAGGGATGCTTGTGCCCACTACACTACAGAGAAAAGATCCACAGAGGGATGCTTGTGCCCACTACAGAGAAAAGAAGATGTTTGTCCCCACCAGAGGAAAAGATCCCAGAGGGATGCTTGTGCCCACTACAGAGAAAAGATCCCAGAGGGATGCTTGTGCCCACTACAGAGAAAAGATCCCAGAGGGATGCTTGTGCCCACTACAGAGAAAAGATCCCAGAGGGATGCTTGTGCCCACTACAGAGAAAAGATCCCAGAGGGATGCTTGTGCCCACTACAGAGAAAAGATCCCAGAGGGATGCTTGTTGTGTCCAGAAGGATGCTTGTGCCCACTACAGAGAAAAGATCCCAGGGGGATGCTTGTGCCCACTACAGAGGATAGATCCTAGAGAGATGCTTTAGCCCACTACAGAGGATAGATCCCAGAGGGATGCTTGTGTCCACTACAGAAAAAAGATCCCAAAGGGATGCTTGTGCCCACTACAGAGAAAAGATCCCAGAGGGATGTTTGTCCCCACTACAGAGAAAAGATCCCAGAGGGATGCTTGTGCCCACTACAGAGAAAAGATCCCAGAGGGATACTTGTGTCCACTACAGAGAAATGATCACAGAGGGATGCTTGTGCCCACTACAGAGGGATGCTTTAGCCCACTACAGAGGATAGATCCCAGAGGGATGCTTGTGTCCACTACAGAAAAAAGATCCCAAAGGGATGCTTGTGCCCACTACAGAGAAAAGATCCCAGAGGGATGCTTGTGCCCACTACAGAAAAAAGATCCCAGGGGATGGTTGTGTCCACTACAGAAAAAAAGATCCCAGAGGGATGCTTGTGTCCACTACAGAGAAAAGATCCCAGAGGGATGCTTGTGTCCACTACAGAGAAAAAAGATCCCAGAGGGATGCTTTAGCCCACTACAGAGGATAGATCCCAGAGGGATGCTTGTGCCCACTACACTTGTGTCCACTACAGAGAAAAGATCCCAGAGGGATGCTTGTGCCTACTACAGAAAACAGATGCCAGAGGGATGCTTGTGCCCACTACAGAGAAAAGATCCCAGAGGGATGCTTGTGCCCACTACAGAGAAAAGATCCCAGAGGGATGCTTGTGTCCACTACCCACTACAGAGAAAAGATCCCAGAGGGATGTTTGTCCCCACTACAGAGAAAAGATCCCAGAGGGATGCTTGTGCCCACTACAGAAAAAAGATCTCAGAGGGATGCTTGTGTCCACTATAGAAAAAAGATCCCAGAGGGATGCTTGTGCCCACTACAGAGAAAAGATCCCAGAGGGATGCTTGTGCCCACTACAGAAAAAAGATCCCAGAGGGATGCTTGTGTCCAATACAGAAAAAAGATCCCAGGGGATGGTTGTGTCCACTACAGAAAAAAGATCCCAGAAGGATGCTTGTGCCCACTACAGAGAAAAGATCCCAGGGGGATGCTTTAGCCCACTACAGAGGATAGATCCCAGAGGGATGCTTGTGCCCACTACAGAGAAAAGATCCCAGAGGGATGCTTGTGCCCACTACAGAGAAAAGATCCCAGAGGGATGCTTGTGTCCACTACAGAGAAATGATCACAGAGGGATGCTTGTGCCCACTACAGAGGGATGCTTTAGCCCACTACAGAGGATAGATCCCAGAGGGATGCTTGTGCCCACTACAGAAAAAAGATCCCAGGGGATGCTTTTGTCCACTACAGAAAAAAGATCCCAGAGGGATGCTTGTGCCCACTACAGAAAAAAAAAGATCCCAGAGGGATGCTTGTGCCCACTACAGAGAAAAGATCCCAGAGGGATGCTTGTGCCCACTACAGAAAAAAGATCCCAGAGGGATGCTTGTGCCCACTACAGAGGGATGCTTGTGCCCACTACAGAAAAAAGATCCCAGAGGGATGCTTGTGTCCACTACAGAGAAAAGATCCCAGAGGGATGCTTGTGCCCACTACAGAGGGATGCTTTAGCCCACTACAGAGGATAGATCCCAGAGGGATGCTTGTGCCCATTACAGAAAAAAGATCCCAGGGGATGCTTGTGTCCACTATAGAAAAAAGATCCCAGAGGGATGCTTGTGTCCACTACAGAAAAAAGATCCCAGGGGATGCTTGTGTCCACTACAGAAAAAAGATCCCAGAGGGATGCTTGTGTCCACTACAGAAAAAAGATCCCAGAGGTATGCTTGTGCCCACTACAGAAAAAAAAAAGATCCTAGAGGGATGCTTGTGCCCACTACAGAGAAAAGATCCCAGAGGGATGCTTGTGCCCACTACAGAAAAAAGATCCCAGAGGGATGCTTGTGTCCACTACAGAGAACAGATCCCAGAGGGATGCTTGTGTCCACTACAGAAAAAAGATCCCAGGGGATGCTTGTGTCCACTACAGAGAAAAGATCCCAGAGGGATTCTGGAGTCCATTTTTGTTTGATTTTCATAAATTTGTTTTATTTAGAAGCTGGATATTTCCCTTCGTTAGTCTTGATTATATGAAATTTTAGAATTCCTTTAAAGAAACAACAATAATCATCAGCCGTCAGATATAAGATGGTCGTTAGTCAATAGTTTGTTTTTCTGACAGCCTCATTATCAAAAAACAGGACATACAAGTCATCAAGGTAAACCTCAATTATACAATTTGAGACAGATCAATTTAGGCCTTTTCAAGAAATAGCGATAGCAAACTTTGAGTGTCAAAATCAAAGATGGATGCCAGTTGGTCTTTTGATTCAGACTGAAAATTGCATGGCCACATCTAGGAACAGAGAGGAACATACATATAAAATTTGTGAAAGATCCATCCAGTACTTCCAGGAACAGCGATAACAATTTCATTGTCAAAATTCCCATTGGTGCCTGTTGGTCATTTTGTTTTTCTTAGCAGACTCAAAATTGAAAAGTCACAACTAGGGACCAAGGAAAACCAACATATGAAATTTGAGACAGATCCCTCCAGTACTTTCCAAGAAATAACTTGGCAAATGTTCATTATCAAAATCCAAGATGGGCTACCTGTCAGTCATTTATTTTTTTGATCAGATTCAAAATCAAAAGTGTGCATTTAGGGACCAAGGGGAATCTACATGTAAAATTTGAAAAATATCCACCTAGGACTTTCCTGGAAATAGTGGAAACAAATTATCACTGTCATAATCTAAGATTTCTGTCTGTCGCCCAGTTTGTAAAGAAATTTTAATTAGATAAGATGTCTTGTTTGAAATAAAAATTGAGAGAATTTAAACTGCAAAATCTGCAATACCGGTAAGTAGTATATGAAAATTTCAATAAAAGTGAGGATGATTTTGTTTATAATATCTGACCATATTGATTGGGTACAGGCAAAAGAGTCCTGGGAGATGGATGCAAGTGAAAAGCTGGAACAGGCTGAGATAAAGAAGGCCAAGGGAACATCCTACTTCAAGGTAATTGTTGTTGTACATGATCATGGTGTTAGTAATACACACACCAATGTATACGTAAGGGTTCAGATAGAAGGTTTTGTTGACTAAAACACAGCTGCTCATTTGACAGAAGGACACAAAAACTTCTGAGTAGACAAAAGGTCAGACTTAACCTGCTGATCAGACAGAAGGACAGACAAAGCTGCTAATCAGACAAAAGGACAGACAAAGCTGCTAATCAGACAAAAGGACAGACAGAGCTGCAACTCAGACAGTAGGACAGAGCTACTGATCAGAGAGAAGGACAGCAAAGCTGCTGATCAGACAGTCAGAGTTGAAGCTTTATCTGTCCTTTTGTGTGATCAGCAGCTTTGATGTCCTTCTCTCTGATCAGTAGCTCCGTCTGTCCTACTGTCTGAGTTGTAGCTTTGTCCAGACAGAGCTACTGATCAGACAGAAAGACAAAGCTGCTGACCACACGGGACAGACAAAGCTGTAGATCAGACAGAGCTACTGATCAGACAGAAGGACAGCAAAGATGTTGACCAGAGAGAAGGACAGACAGAGCTTCAACTCAGACAATAGGACAGACAGAGCTACTGATCAGAGAGAAGGACAGCAAAGCTGCTGATCAGACAGAAGGACAGATAGAGCTTCAACTCCGCCAATAGGACAGACAGAGCTACTGATCAGACAGTCAGAGTTGAAGCTCTATCTGTCCTTCTGTCTGATCAGAAGCTTTGTTGTCCTTCTGTCTGATCAGTAGCTCCGTCTGTCCTACTGTCTGAGTTGTAGCTTTGTCTGTCCAGACAGAACTACTGATCAGACAGAAGGACAGCAAAGCTGCTGATCAGACAGAAGGACAGACAGAGCTACTGATCAGACAGAAGGACAAAGCTACTGACCACACAGGACAAAGTTTCTAATCAGACAGAAGGACAGACAAAGCTGCTGACCAGATAGAAGGACAAAGCTGTTGACCACACGGGACAGACAAAGCTACTGATCAGACAGTAGGACAAACACAGCTTCTGATTAGACAGAAGGACAGACAGAGCTACTGATCAGACAGAAGGACAAACACAGCTTCTAATCGGACAGAAGGACAGACAGAGCTACATCTCAGACAGGACAGACCGATTTACATCTCAGAGAGAAGGACAGACAGAGCTACTGATCAGACAGAAGGACAAACACAGCTTCTGATCAGACAGAAGGACAGACAGAGCTACATCTCAGACAGAAGGACAGATCGAGCTACATCTCAGACAGAAGGACAGACAGAGCTGCTGACCAGACAAGACAGACAAAGCTCCTGATCAGACAGTAGAACAGGCAGAGCTACTGATCAGAAGGACAGATTAAGATGCTGATCAGACAGAAAGATGTACAAAGCTACAACTCAGATAGGACAGATTAAGCTACTGATAAGACAAAAAGTCAGACACAGCTGCTGATCAAACTGGATGACATACTTAACTATTGATCACATAGAAAGACAGATATAGGTGTTTTACAGTCTCTATCTGATGACCCATACTTTCTCTGTTGGTGGTGTTTTACAGTCTCTATCTGGTAAACCCATACTTTATCTGTTGGTAGTGTCTTACAGTCTCTATCTGATAAACCCATACTTTATCTGTTGATGGTGTTTTACTGTCTTTATCTTAAAAACCCATACTTTATCTGTTGGTAGTGTCTTACAGTCTCTATCTGATAAACCCATACTTTATCTGTTGATGGTGTTTTACAGTCTCTATCTGATAAACCCATACTTTATCTGTTGGTAGTGTCTTACAGTCTCTATCCGATAAACCCATACTTTATCTGTTGATGGTGTTTTACTGTCTTTATCTGGTAATATTATACATTGTTGACATAGTTTTTTAGCTTGTCCTTTTCTGTCATGCAAACACTTTTGCTTCATGAATTTATTTTGTATTTTCCACTGGAAGGTTGAGAAGTACAAGTTAGCTGCCAAGTTCTACAGTGCAGTTGTGTCTTTGCTGGAGAATGCCACTGGGATGGATGCTGAAGAGGATTCAACACGCAAGTCTTCACTTTTACTGGCAGCCTACCTGAACCTGGCAATGTGCTATCTGAAGCTTGGGAATGACCATGAAGCACATGGCCAGTGTGACAAGGCCCTAGAACAGGATAGCAAAAACGTGAAGGCACTTTTCAGACGTGGACAGGTGTGTTGTATAGAAGAATTCTTTTTTCTACCATTTGAATATAATTATTCCATAATGTCTTTTAGGGATGTCAAGACTTTTAACTCAGTTAGAAACTCTGTGGTGCAGGGTTATGGCATGAAATAGCTCCTTTTCTAAAAAAAACTTTTTACAAACCAAACATATGTAAAATATGGATGTCAGTTGTTGTATGTGTTTCTGCTTTGTTGAAGTCTGTCTCATTAAAGTTGGCTCCTTGACATGTGTTTTAGGCTCTACAAAACAAAGGAGATTATGATTTGGCAAAGAAAGACTTTGAGCAAGTGGTTGAGCTTGATCCCCAGAACAAAGCAGCAAAGAACCAAATTACTCGCTGTATACAAAAGATAAAACAGTTTAAAGACAAAGAGAAAAAAATATATGCTGGAATGTTCCAGAAATTTGCAGAGGCTGACAGCAAAAAGGTAAACATTCTTGAAATTAATCTATATGTTATTTATAATTATTTAATGTAAAAAATATCTTTAGTGACATTCATATCTTAAATTCTAAAAATCAGCAAACAAGTACAGGGATTTTACAAAGAGCTGTCAAGGCTACAGAATTCTGGTACCACCCACTGGGTACTGACATACTGGGACTACAGGGATTTTACATAGAGCTGTCAAGGCTACAGAATTCTGGTACCACCCACTGGGTACTGACATACTGGGACTACAGGGATTTTACATAGAGCTGTCAAGGCTACAGAATTCTGGTACCACCCACTGGGTACTGACATACTGGTACTGATATACTTGTACTGGATACTGACAAACTGGCACAGGGTACCGACATACTGGTACTGGGTACTAACATACTGGTACTGACATACTGGTACTGACATACTGGTACAGGGTACTGACATACTGGTAATGACATACTGGTACAGGGTACTGACATACTTGGTACTGCCATACTGGGTACTGACATACTGGTACTGTATACTGACATACTGGGTACTGACATACTGGTACTGGGTACTGACATACTGGTACTGCGTACTGACATACTGGTACTTACTTACTGGTACTGGGTATTGACATACTGGTACAGGGTACTGACATACTGGTACAGGGTAGGGACATACTGGGTAGTGACATACTGGTACTGGGTACTGACATAATGGGTACTGACAAACTGGTACTGACATACGGTACTGGGTACTGACATACTGGGTACTGACATACTGGTACTGTATACTGACATACTGGGTACTGACATACTGGTACTGGGTACTGACATACTGGTACTGGGAACTCACGTACTGGTACTGACATACTTGTACTGGGAACTGAAATACTGGTACTGACATACTGGTACTGGGTACTGACATACTGGTACTGGATACTGACATACTGGCACAGGGTACTGACATACTGGTACTGGGTACTAACATACTGGTACTGACATACTGGTACAGGGTACTGACATACTGGTACTGACATACTGGTACAGGGTACTGACATACTTGGTACTGCCATACTGGGTACCGACATACTGGTACTGTATACTGACATACTGGGTACTGACATACTGGTACTGGGTACTGACGTACTGGTACTGGGAACTGACATACTGGTACTGACATACTGGTACTGGGTACTGACATACTGGCACAGGTTACTGACATACTGGTACTGGATACTGACATACTGGTACTGCGTACTGACATACTTGTACTGACATACTGGTACTACGTAATGACATACTTGTACTGACATACTGGTACTACGTAATGACATACTGGTACTGGGTACTGACATACTGGTACAGGGTACTGACATACTGGTACTGATATACTGGTACTGACATACTGGTACTGCGTACTGACATACTTGTACTGCGTACTGACATACTTGTACTGACATACTGGTACTACGTAATGACATACTTGTACTGACATACTGGTACTACGTAATGACATACTGGTACTGGGTACTGACATACTGGTACTGACATACAGTTACTGCGTACTGACATACTGGTACTGACTTGCTTGTATTGAGATACTGGTACTGTGAACTGACATACTGGTACTTGGTAATGACATACTGGTACTGACATACTGATACTGACATACTGGTACAGGGCACTGACATACTGGTACTGACATACTGGTACAGGGTACTGACATACTGGTACTGCGTACTGACATACTTGTATTGACATACTGGTACTGGGTACTGACATACTGGTACTAACATACTGGTACTGGGTACTGACATACTGGTACTGACATACTGGTACTGGATACTGACAAACTGGCACAGGGTACCGACATACTGGTACTGGGTACTGACATACTGGTACTGACATACTGGTACTGGGTACTGACATACTGGTACTGACATACTGGTACTGGATACTGACATACTGGTACTGACATACTGGTGTACTGACATACTTGGTACTGCCATACTGGGTACTGACATACTGGTACTGTATACTGACATACTGGGTACTGACATACTGGTACTGGGTACTGACATACTGGTACTGGGTACTGACATACTGGTACAGGGGACATACTGGTACAGGGTAGGGACATACTGGGTAGTGACATACTGGTACTGGGTACTGACATAATGGGTACTGACATACTGGTACTGACTACGGGGTACTGACATACTGGTACTGACATACTGGTACTGTATACTGACATACTGGGTACTGACATACTGGTACTGGGTACTGACATACTGGTACTGGGTACTGACATACTGGTACTGTACTGGGAACTGAAATACTGGTACTGACATACTGGTACTGGGTACTGACATACTGGTACTGGTACTGACATACATACTGGTACTGACATACTGGGGTACTGACATACTGGTACAGGGTACTGACATACTGGTAATGACATACTGGTACAGGGTACTGACATACTTGGTACTGCCATACTGGGTACTGACATACTGGTACTGTATACTGACATACTGGGTACTGACATACTGGTACTGGGTACTGACATACTGGTACTGGGTACTGTAATACTGTTTCTTTCATTCTGGTACTGGGTACTGACATACTGGCACAGGTACTGACATACTGGTATACTGGTACGTACTGGGTACTGACATACTGGTACTACGTAATGACATACTTGGTACTAATGACATACTGGTACTGGGTACTGACATACTGGTACAGGGTACTGACATACTGGTACTGATATACTGGTACTGACATACTGGTACTGCGTACTGACATACTTGTACTGACGTACTGACATACTGGGTACTGACATACTGGTACTGGGTAATGACATACTTGTACTGACATACTGGTACTACTGACATACTGGTACTGGGTACTGACATACTGGTACTGACATACTGGTACATACTGGTACTGACATACTGGTACTGTACTGACATACTGGTACTTGGTAATGACATACTGGTACTGACATACTGGTACTGGTACAGGGCACATACTGACATACTGGTACTGACATACTGGTACTGCGTACTGACATACTTGTATTGACATACTGGTACTGGGTACTGACATACTGGTACTAACATACTGGTACTGGGTACTGACATACTGGTACTGACATACTGGTACTGGGTAGTGACATACTGGTACAGGGTACTGACATACTGGTACAGGGTACTGACATACTGGTACTGGGTATTGACATACTGGTACAGGGTACTGACATACTGGTACAGGGTACTGACATACTGGTACTGGGTATTGACATACTGGTACAGGGTACTGACATACGGGTACTGACTTACTGGTATTGGGTAATGACATACTGGTACTGACACACTGGTACTGGGTACTGACATACTGGTACTGGGTACTGACATACTGGTGCTGGGTACTGACATACTGGTATAGGGTACTGACATACTGGGTACTGACATACTGGTACTGGGTACTGACATACTGGTACTGACATACTGGTACTGGGTACTGACATACTTGTACTGACATACTGGTACAGGGTACTGACATACTGGTACTGCGTACTGACATACTGGTACTGACTTGCTTGTATTGAGATACTGGTACTGTGAACTGACATACTGGTACTGGGTACTGACATACTGGTACTACGTAATGACATACTTGTACTGACATACTGGTACTACGTAATGACATACTGGTACTGGGTACTGACATACTGGTACTGACATACAGTTACTGCGTACTGACATACTGGTACTGACTTGCTTGTATTGAGATACTGGTACTGTGAACTGACATACTGGTACTGGGTAATGACATACTGGTACTGACATACTGATACTGACATACTGGTACAGGGCACTGACATACTGGTACTGACATACTGGTACAGGGTACTGACATACTGGTACTGCGTACTGACATACTTGTATTGACATACTGGTACTGGGTACTGACATACTGGTACTGCGTACTGACATACTTGTATTGACATACTGGTACTGGGTACTGACATACTGGTACTGACATACTGGTACCGGGTAGTGACATACTGGTACAGGGTACTGACATACTGGTACAGGGTACTGACATACTGGTACTGGGTATTGACATACTGGTACAGGGTACTGACATACGGGTACTGACTTACTGGTATTGGGTAATGATATACTGGTACTGACACACTGGTACTGGGTACTGACATACTGGTACTGGGTACTGACATACTGGTGCTGGGTACTGACATACTGGTATAGGGTACTGACATACTGGGTACTGACATACTGGTACTGGGTACTGACATACTGGTACTGACATACTGGTACTGGGTACTGACATACTTGTACTGGGTACTGACATACTGGTACTGACATACTGGTACTGGGTACTGACATACTGGTACTGACATACTGGTACTGGGTACTGACATACTGGTACTGACATACTGGTACTGGGTACTGACATACTGGTACTGGGTACTGACATGCTGGTACTGATATAGGCAGGAGTAATAAAAAGTTAGGGGGAGGAAGGGTTAGGCAGGACTAATATAATGTCAGGGGGAGAAGGGGGCTCAGACAGGAGTAATATCAAGAGAGGGGGAGAAGGGGGGCTCAGACAGGAGTAATATCAAGTCAGGGGGAGGGGGGCTCTGGCAGGAGTAATATCACGTCAGGGGGAGAAGGGGGACTTAGGCAGAGTAATATCAAGTCGGGGGGAGAAGGGGGGCTCAGACAGGAGTAATATCAAGTCAGGGGGAGGGGGCTCTGGCAGGAGTAATATCACGTCAGGGGGAGAAGGGGGACTTAGGCAGAGTAATATCAAGTCGGGGGGAGAAGGGGGGCTCAGACAGGAGTAATATCAAGTCAGGGGGAGGGGGCTCTGGCAGGAGTAATATCACGTCAGGGGGAGAAGGGGGACTTAGGCAGAGTAATATCAAGTCGGGGGGAGAAGGGGGGCTGAGGCAGAAGTAATATCAAGTCATGGGGTCAGG